ATTGGTGAACTGTGGGTTTTGTAATAAGTGCTTACTGTATAACACACTGTGGTGAACTTTTCTTGTCGTCTATAGGAAGGCCTACCTGATGATATTATGTTATTTCACAATTTAACAAAGTTAGGCAGGAAGAGTAAGATGATGTATGAGTATCTTCCATCATAAAACATACAAACCCACTATTATTTAAGGTATTACATAGATGTAAAACTAACATAATAAACATTCTGGTAGATCATAAAAGGACAATATATAAGCTAAAATAACTTAAATGAAAATGTAAAAGTATTGGCATAATATGTAAATAGCTGTAAATTTATCATTTCTACCCTTTATTTAAATTAGGATATTTTACTATAATTTTACGGTTTTTGGCAGCCGCAACTGCCAGTCATTAGACCGTATTTTTACGATTTTTTTTTTACAGTGTAGCAAAACATGTTGAAGGTGTGTTAGTCGAAGCGCCCAGAGAAGGTATATAAACGCTGAGTTTCCCTCTCAACTACACCCTGCTACCTGCTACTGCTGCAAGTGGAACTCATCTGATCATCACAACAAGGTACGACTCTATAGAAATAAGTTTTCATCTGTTCATTATTATTTTTAGTGTTCACTTCCAGGGAAATCCCCTTTTCATGCAGTTCTTTATAATTCCTTGTTTCGGTAAAAATTCCTAAAAATTTTCATTTATCTTATCTCTATCTTATATTTATCCTGTATCACAAAATCGCATTGCTGTAGTAAACACTTTTGAAACTGTATTTTAAGTTTGTAACTAGAATTCACATGCTTATCTATGGTACATTACTTAATATACTGTGTTTACACAGATGGCATCAGCTCTTCATTTCATTGCGGTCATCTGTTTGACCAGTGGACTGTGTATTGGAGCCAATGTAAGTAATAAAATATTAATCTAAAAATAGTTTGCTGTTACTGCAATAAAAGGAAGTGAACCTGTATTTCTTTAATTCAAATCTAAAGTTAAAATAGTTAAATAGAAGTAAAGTTAAAATTAAGGTCAATACTGAATATATGTGTGTCTTCACAGGCATCAAGTGAAACAGAATCAGGTTAGTGTTTCTCAGAGTGGTGGAGGTGAAAAACTGTAGCTGCACTTGATCCTAAGATTGCTCGTTACTTAACTGTTTCTAATTTGTCCATAAATGTTGTGCTGAGGATCAATATTCTCAGACCTCCACTGGCTTTGGACCATTGGAGGCTTTTTGCATGATTGTCCTTCTAATCATCTACAATTGTGTTATAGATCATTGCTATAAAACCTGCCCTGACGGTTGGACTGTGTTTGGCCAACAATGTTACATGTTCCACAACAGTGAACAGCAGTGGGCTGATGCAGAGGTACGTTTTCAGTTATAACTGCCACACTGTAAATTTGTGATCACTCAGTTAGTAATGGTCCTCGTATGGAGGTTATTGAATTTACACGGGATCCATTGTTCCGTTGTCTCTGTTGGTACACACAGTTCAAGCATGTTCACATAGTTGTGTTAGGACTTCTCACCTCATCTCTGAGTAATTTTTTTTTTGTCTCTTTCTTCAGCGTTTGTGCACGTCTCTCGGTGGGAATCTGGCTTCCCTTCGAACCACAGCTGAGTACAAGTTCATCAGAGAGATGATTCGTAAAGTGACTGGTGTAGATAAAGACGCTTGGGTTGGAGGCTACGATGCAGCAAAGGTGAGCCTTTTAACAAAAAACAGGATCTGATTTAGCTGTCCCCTCTGTGTGCCTGATATTGAATATATACTGTAATTTGTAATGTAACTTTTTGTAATCTGACCAGTGTGATGTGGACTGTTCTTAACAGGACATAACTTTAACTAACCCTTCATAAAAAGCACCAGCTGAAACATGATTGAAAAAAATCCAACCAAATGTATAAACTCTCTGGGTGTGCGTTGAGTTAAAGGCTAAAAAACTCTAGCGCTAGCTAAATGATAATGAATAGAACTGTGGAGTTCAAACCATTAAAAAATAAACATTTAAACTGGAAAAACTAACTTATTGTTACTGATCCATGATCAGTTTTCATGGTTTTTTCTTTTACCAAAATAGTTGCTGCTGAAACATGCTCACAGCAACATCTGTGGATTATCTTCAGTAACATGGACATGATTTCTGAAAAAAGGTTTTTGCAAAAAGTCATTTTTGTTTTTAGCATCACAAACAAAATTATACATGAGCAGTGGACATTTCTTCACAATTAGCATGGATAGATGCCACTAGGGGTGAAATAATTTATTTTGTGATTGGCGTGAATTGACACTTAAATACCTCCTTTTCCAGGAGGGTGTGTGGCTGTGGAGTGATGGTTCAAAGTACAACTTCAAAGGCTGGGCTGCAGGGGAACCCAACAACGCTGGTGGAAGAGAAAGCTGTATGGAGATTAACTTTACAGGTACAACTTAATTATCTGACTCATGTTGGATGACCCTCATTGTTGGATGTTTACTTTTCTTACTCTCTGTTTTTCAGTATGTGCTTTCATTTGCAACCATGAATCATGTTATAACGCAGGTTTCTGAGGGTGCTATATGAAGAGAGTCTTACTTAATGTAAATGCAAACAATATCATTGTGAGAACTTTTCATCTGAGCCCTCTAATGTGCAATTATTGTTTCTTTAAAAAAAATCTGTCTTCAGGAAAAGATTATGTCAACGATGCCAACTGTGATATCAACAAATCCATTGTTTGTGGCATGCGCCTGTGAAGATCTACGCCAGGTGCTGACACTTCCCCAATGATGATGTCACAACCCCACTGATGTCACAGTTCTGATAAATTTCAGTTGAATCAATAAACAAATATATCATGTTCAGCTATCTGTCTCACCTCTTTAGTTTGCTATCTCATGCACCGCCGAAGCTCCCTTCACTCTACTCTTAAAATTTGATATCAGAATGATCCATATTTAGAGCATGTACTCAGAGAAGCAACACAAGACAATGACACTGTGACAGAACAACTTCAAAGTAAAATTGGGAGTCAATAAGTCAACTCATTTTATGAAAAGTTTTTCATTAATACTTTGATTAAAAACCAAAGAGGCATCTTATAAACACTACAGTAGTAGAGAACAGATTTCAATAGTAAACTCTTTGTTTAGCATACAAATGCAAAGTATAGTAATCATAGTAAACCTGTCAGTTTCCATTTGAGCATTCACACCTGAAAGTCCGCACCAAGGTCAGAACCAAAGTTTTGATACATTTTGTCACATTTGGTTAGTTTTGGTTTGGTTTTATACTGCAATAATGTGAGCGCACTAAAGACCTTTACGGGACAGACTTGCGTCCTGTCGACATCGTCTATGTGGGCTGCGTCTCCCAATACTTGACACTGGTTTAAAAACAGTTCCACAGGTAGCTTTAAAAAGAATGAATGAATGAGGGAGGAACAGATGGATATCATTGCCTCTATATTGTTATTATTATGTCATGAGGCTACTACCTGCAGCACCAACGAGCCTATAGCCAACTTGAGGCTCGTTCAAATTTGTTAAATAAATTTCCTTTTTCTGCAAACATTACATCTTCACCAGCAGGAAAGGAGGAAAAGGCTGCAAGCAATCCTTCTGCACCTCGGTTTGAGACGAGACCAAAGCCATGCTTCTACAGAGGCTTTCTGTTTCAAAATATGAGCTGTGACCGGAGATTTATAATTGTGTCCTTATTTCAGTGTATTTCCCCGTGCATTTTTTATTGCCGGTTCACATGGGAATCATGTAAACCATGTAAATAGTCTGAAAGTCCGGACCATCCAAAAAATATGGCAAAAACCATAAAATTATAGTAAAATATCCTAATTTAAATAAAGGGTAGAAATGATAAATTTATAGCTATTTACATATTATGCCAATACTTTTACATTTTCATTTAAGTTATTCTTATATATTGTCCTTTTATGATCTACCAGAATGTCTATGATGTTAGTTTTACATGTATGTAATACCTTAAATAATAGTGGGTTTGTCTGTAATTTTGGTTCGGATAAAACTGAAAAATCTAAAGGTTCGGACCAAACAACGTAAATGTGAAAGCCCCCTTATGCTCAATGTGAATGGGTGAATGTGATCTAATGTAAAATTCAATTGAATTGAATTGAATTTTATTTATATAGTGCCAAATCACAACAACAGTTATCCCTATAAAAAAACACACCATTTACCATATATATAGATTTTGCTCATGGATAGTGACATTAGTGTCTGAATGAGCACTTAAGAGATCTAATAATAAATACACACACACACACACACACTCATATATAGTATATATATGTGTATGTATGTGTGGCCGGTCTGGTTGTATTGTTTAGCCAGCTCCTGATTTCTCAGCAAAAACAAAGGCAGTGCAGAGATGCACCACAGAAATATGTTGTCAATATTCAAAAGCCATAACATTCATCCAATTTTGCAATCGTTGCTCATATTCCAAAATGAGAAACCACGAGCAGACCAACCATATATATATATATATATATATATCTAAAGTGCTCATTCAGACAGTAACGTCACTATCCATGAGCAAATATATGGTAAATGGTCTGTGTTGTGTAGCACCTTTCTAGTCTTACGACCACTCGTAGCGCTTTAATACCACATCACATTCACCCCTTCACAAACATTCACACTGAGCCTAAGTGCTCAACAAAGAGTTTACTATTGAAATGTTCTATACTATTGTAGTGTTTATAAGATGTCTCTAAGGTTTTTAATCAAGTCATTGTCTTGTTTTGCTTCTCTGTATCTCACATCCCAAACTAGTTGAGTATATGCTCTACATATGGGGTTTATTTTGAGTAGAGAGAGGGGAGCTTCGGTGGTGGCATGAGATAGCAATTTAAAGAAGTGAGACAGATAGCTGAACATGATATATTTGTTTATTGATTCAACTGAAATAAATCAGAACTATGACATCATCAGTGGGGTTGTGACATCATTGGGGATGTGTCATGCCTGGCGTCGGGCGTAGATCTTTACAGGTGCACCCCACAAACAAAAGGTTTGTTGATATCACAGTTGGCATCGTTGACATAATCTCTTTCTGAGGACAGATTTTTTTTAAAGAATCAATAATTGCACATTAGAGGCCTCAGATACAAAGTTCTCATAATGAAATTGTTTGCATTTTCTCAATTAAGCATGTAAAACTGTCTTCATATAACACTCAATTTATTATAACATGATTCATGGTTGCAAATGAAAGCACATACTGAAAAACAGAGAGTAAGAAAAGTAAACATCCAACAATGAAGGGAAAGGCCAACAATAAAAGTTAATCTCCATACAGTTCTCTCTTCCACCAGCGTTGTTGGGTTCCCCTGCAGCCCAGCCTTTGAAGTCATACTTTGAACCATCACTCCACAGCCACACACCCTCCTGAAACAAAAGGTTTTAAGAGAGTTTATACATTTGCTTAGATTTATTTCAATCATGTTTTAGCTGGTGCTTTTTATGAAGGGTTAGTTAAAGTTATGTCTTGTTAAGAACAGTCCACATCACACTGGTCAGATTACAAAAAGGTAGATTACAAACAGAATATTTTCAATATCAGGCACACAGGGGACAGCTAAATCAGATCCTGTTTTTTGTTAAAAGGCTCACCTTTGCTGCATCGTAGCCTCCAACCCAAGCGTCTTTATCTACACCAGTCACTTTATGAATCATCTTTCTGATGAACTTGTACTCGTCTGCGGTTTGAAGGGAAGCCAGATTCCCACCGAGAGAAGTGCACAAACGCTGAAGAAAGAGACAAAGTGAGAAACAAAAGTGACAGAAAGAAAGAAAATTACAAACAGGGATGAGGTGAGAAGTCCTAACACGACCATGTGAACATGCTTGAACTGTGTGTACCAACAGAGTGGACAACAGAACAATGGATCCTGTGAAAATTCAATAACCTTCATATGGGAACTTCTACTGCTAACTGAGTGATCACAAATTTACAGTGTGGCTGTTATAACTGAAAACGTACCTCTGCATCAGCCCACTGCTGTTCACTGTTGTGGAACATGTAACATTGTTGGCCAAACACAGTCCAACCGTCAGGGCAGGTTTTATAGCAATGATCTATAACACAATTGTAGATGATTAGAAGGACAATCATGCAAAAAGCCTCTGGTGGTCCAAAGTCAGTGGAGGTCTGAGAATATTGATCCTCAACACAACATTTATGGACACATTAGAAAAAGGTAAGTAAGAAGAAATTTTAGGATCAAGTGCAGCTACAGTATTTCACCTCCACCACTCTGAGAAACACTAACCTGATTCTGTTTCACTTGATGCCTGTGAAGATACAGAAATATTCAATATTGAAGTCATCTTGGATTTGTCTCTACTTGCAACTTTAGATTTGAATTCAAAAATACAGGTGACAGGACGTTGCATTTTATTTCAAAAATCAAAATGTGTTTGTTCACTTCCTTTTATTGCAAATATTCTTAAAACGTTCAGTTTTATTAATGTTGAAAACATAATGTTGGACTGTAGAGCTCTTGAAAGACCGGTTTTAGTTAGTTATTTTAAGTTTAGGTGTTATTATTAAATTTATATTTATTACTTACATTGGCTCCAATACACAGCCCACTGGTCAAACAGATGACCGCAATGAAATGAAGAGCTGATGCCATCTGTGTAGACAGTATGTTAATGAAGTAATACACTGTAGATAAGTATATGCATTATTTTAATGTGAATGTTAATTACAACATAAAAATGACAGCAATGCTATTTGGTGATACAGGAAGATAAAATAACAAAAGTAATTTTACAGAAACAAGGAATTATAAAGAACTGCATGAAAAGGGGTTTTTACCTGGAAGTGAACACTAAAAATAATTAAAGCTGCAAGCAGCGTTGGGCGGGCCCTCGCACTTGTAGCGCGTCCGCGCGTGAGCCGGCCGAGTTGCACATTCTGGAGCTCTGCCGGTGCGGCTGTGAATTTGTTACGCGGTTCCGACGCCGCATGAAGGTGCTATATGTCACTTCCTGTGTCCCTATGTGGAGCTACATAGCACTTGCCGCTATGAATATAAATCGGTATTGGCGTGTAGATGTCTGCGGGGTGGGAGAGTTATCAAGCACGTAAAGTTTGTTTCAGATGTGACCATGTACACTGAACAATAATGTACACAAACAATAAAATAAATTCCTTTTATATTTCCCTGCCTTGTTGTTTATGTGTACATACAGAGGAAGAATGTGAGAACAACACACATTTCATCGTACTGTGTTTCTGCTCCAGCCTGCCTAAAAGAAAAGCGTTTTTGGGATTAAATGGACTTTATAAGCTGCTGCAGTGCAGGATGAACTCAGAATAGACCCATTTCTCACCTTGTTATTCTAAACCATGCAACGAAGAAGAAGAAATGCATAATAAATCCTGGGACAAAATCTGTCCACAAATACTGTACAGCATGTAGTCTAATGAACAAGACTTGTGTTATAGCTGACTTGGGCAGTGAAATGTTTAATTTTTTTAATTCATGTGGTCATAGTTGTCCACAACTCAAATCAGAATATAAGAAGAAATGTTTTATACCACCTCAAGAAGGCTTCCTATCAGAAAGGTAGGAAGGTATTTCAAATGTACAACTGCAGTACTTAAATCTAAGTAAAGTAATTTCCCTGACATTACTGTGTTACGCATGTAACAGGTTTTATACTTCCTGTGAGTATAATCCAATCAATCTTATTTTCATACTGTATATCCGTTGTGTAATTTGATAAATTGTGTTGTATGTGGTGCTCGCATCGGGTACTACTGAGACTTCATTGCCCTCTTCAGAGAAGACTCTGACTGCAACATGCGTCTTTGTAAAGAGAGAAACAGACAGAAAAAGTCTCTAACTCTGCCTGTCAGCTCGCTCTGCTCCGTTAAAACTGAATTTACCATACAGAATTGAATACGAGTGCACTCCAGATTTAGCTGCAGCCAGCTGACCGTGTGCTTCTCCCTATACCGCAGTTCTGTGTCCATGCATGCAGCAAACTGAAAGCACTGTCTGTCGGAGCGTCTACGTGAAAAGAGAAGGAAGACATTGCTGGTAGTATTGTCTTCAGAGTTGTTAAACACCTCAGCGCACTGAAGGAAGCCATCTGACTGTGTGAGGGGCAAGATCGTTGATGTCTGCAGGCAGAGTAGGAGCTCTCCTGTCTGACTGGTCCACCAATAGCAGAGAAGATGACCCCTTGAGACACAGCCCCTCCTCATTTGCATAATGAGGCAGAAATGCATACAAAAATTTAAAAAAGACAGGCAGAAATAAATACCATGGGTGAAAATAAATAAGGTAAATAAATACAAAGGAAGAATAAAACAGACAAAAATATTAAAACACACACATAAATAAATACATTAAAAAATTAGTAATAAATAAAGTTGAATAAACAAATAAGGTAATTATAACAAAGGTGAATAAGTAAAGGCACTAATTAAAATATATACATTTATGTCTCCTTGTATAATTTAATTACTACCTACATTTATTTATTTACTTTATTTTTTTGTGTATTTAATTGGATGCTTATTTATTTATTGAGCATTTATTTATTTCTGTATTTATTTCTGACTGTGTCAGGATCGGTCCTCCATAACGGGGTGGGAGAGTTATCAAGCACGTAAAGTTTGGTTCAGATGTGAGCATGTACACTGAAGTTACAACAACTTCCTGTGTCATGGCGAAGACTTGATCTCTGACGCCACGCCACGGACACACCCATTGACGAAAACTCGCAAATAGCACAACTTTTCATCTTCAATGCCTTTAGAAGGCACAGCACAAATTTGAAGTCGGTCGGACTAAATCCCTAGGAGGAGTTCGTTAAAGTACGAAGTGTGTAAATCATCCAAAATTTGACGTAAAATTCAAAATGGCCTACTTCCTGTTGATTTAGGGCATCGCTCCAAGAGGCTTTTTTGTGCGTCTGGACAAGATACACGTACCACAGAAAATTTGTGCACGTAGGTAAAACGTGCGGCGGGGGCTGCTTCGTTAAAAGTCACTTCCTGTTGCCAGCAGGTGGCGCTATGACTGTCTGTGAATGTCAGCATGTACATGTGTTCAGGGCGGGACTCTCATCCTACATGTACAGTTTGGTCCAGATGTGAGCATGTACACTGAAGTTACGACAACTTCCGTGTCATGGCGAAGAGTTGATCTTTGACGCCACGCCACGGACACGCCCATTGACGAAAACTTGCAAATAGCACAACTTTTCATCTTCAATGCCTTTAGAAGGCACAGCACAAATTTGAGGTCGGTCGGACTAAATCCCTAGGAGGAGTTCGTTAAAGTACGAAGTGTGTAAATCATCCAAAATTTGACGTAAAATTCAAAATGGCCGACTTCCTGTTGGGTTTAGGCTATGGCTCCAAGAGACTTTTTGTGTGTCTGGACAAGATACACGTACCACAGAAAATTCGTGCACGTAGGTAAAACGTGCGGCGGGGGCTGCTTCGTTAAAAGTCACTTCCTGTTGCCAGCAGGTGGCGCTATGACTGTGGGTGAATGTCAGCATGTACATGTGTTCAGGGCGGGACTCTCATCCTACATGTACAGTTTGGTCCAGATGTGAGCATGTACACTGAAGTTACGACAACTTCCGTGTCATGGCGAAGAGCTGATCTTTGACGCCACGCCACGGACACGCCCATTGACGAAAACTGGCAAATAGCACAACTTTTCATCTTCAATGCCTTTAGAAGGCACAGCACAAATTTGAGGTCGGTCGGACTAAATCCCTAGGAGGAGTTCGTTAAAGTACGAAGTGTGTAAATCATCCAAAATTTGACGTAAAATTCAAAATGGCCGACTTCCTGTTGGGTTTAGGCTATGGCTCCAAGAGACTTTTTTGTGCGTCTGGACAAGATACACGTACCACAGAAAATTCGTGCACGTAGGTGAAACGTGCGGCGGGGGCTGCTTCGTTAAAGGTCACTTTCTGTTGCCAGCAGGTGGCGCTATGACTGTGGGTGAATGTCGGCATGTACATGTGTTCAGGGCGGGACTCTCATCCTACATGTACAGTTTGGTCCGGATGTGAGCATGTACACTGAAGTTACAACAACTTCCTGTTTCATTGCGAATCATCGACGCCACGGACACGCCCATTGACGAAAACGCGCAAATAGCACAACTGTTCATCGTCAATGCCTTTAGAAGGCACAGCAGAAATTTGACGTCGATCCGACTAAATCCCTAGGAGGAGTTCGTTAAAGTACGAAGTGTGTAAATCATCCAAAAATGGCCGTAAAATTCAAAATGGCCGACTTCCTGTTGACTTTAGGCTATGGGTTCTTGAGGCTTTTTTGTGCGTCTTGATACGATACATGTCCCCAGAAAATTTCGTACATGTAGGTTGAACGTGAACGAGGGGCTAATCATTTCCAATTTTCTAGGTGGCGCTAGCGAGTCATTTTGCCACGCCCATGTGCGAAACTTGTAGAATACGAAATTTTTCACCGGTTCTGACATGTTTGCAAATTTTGGTGAGTTTTCGAGTATGTTTAGGCCATGTCATTTGGGCCTACTTTGCAGAAAAAAAAAAAATATATATATATATATATATATATAATCCGAGCAAATTCAATAGGGACCTCGCACGGTCGTGCTCGGGCCCTAAATATAATCCGAGCAATTTCAATAGGGACCTCGCACGGTCGTGCTCGGGCCCTAATAATCCGAGCAAATTCAATAGGGACCTCGCACGGTCGTGCTCGGGCCCTAATAATGAACAGATGATAACTCGTTTCTATAGATAAGAGTCGTACCTTGTTGTGATGATCAGATGAGTTCCACTTGCAGCAGTAGCAGGTAGCAGGGTGTAGTTGAGAGGGAAACCCAGCGTTTATATACCTTCTTCGGGCGCTTCGACTAACACACCTGAAACATGTTTTTCTATGATCATATGATATTGTTTGACTAAAAAAAATGTTTAGTAAAAAACATGTGTAATCTGTTATGTACATAGCCCTATAGCTATCACCTACAGCATGTACTTCAGAAATTCAAACAGGGGTCTGTGGAGTGATGCTACCCTGTGGGTATTTGCAGTTTATCATGGTTAAACCTCACAGTCCAGTGCAATCTACTAAGAGTTACAAACAAGGACTATCTGGAAATTAAGCACACATCATTGAATGGCATTGTTTTAGACTCAAAAATCTCATCATCAAATCATCAACAACTAACCTCATAAACCCACCATGTTTTCCCAAACTCAGATGATTTGAAAGCAGATACATTTTTTAAAAAGCTAAAAAAAGCTAATCTCATAGGGCTCCAAGATTGCTATACATTCTACTTCAGTAAAACCCTTTGCGGTGCTTTATAATGATGACTTTAACTGTAACATCTTGTTTGTACAATCAGTGGCACATTGATGTTCATGTTAAACCAGTGGAGGTCTTAGAATGTTGTCCCTGAACACAACATTTATGGACAGTGAACACATTTAAAACAGTTAAGAAATGAGCAATCTTAGGATGAAGTGCAGCTACAGTATTTCACCTCCACCACTCTGAGAAGCAAAAACCTGATTCTGTCTCACTTGATGCCTGTGAAGACACAGAATTGGCCTTCAGTATGGAAATCATTTTGCATTTGCCTCTATTTTGAACTTTCAATTTGAATTAAAAATACAGAGTTTTATTGATCAAAATATGTTTTGTTCACTTCCTTTTATTTCAAAAATTCTTAAAACATTAAATTTCATTATTGTTGGTAACATAATGTTGGGCTGTAAGCTGAGCTCTTGGAGGAGCGGTTTTATGTAATGTTTAATTTGTTTATTCTTGGCACTAAATAACTGTTTTGATGTCTTCGACCCCACCACAGCACTGAGACGGCTCTTGTTAAGGTCTTCAACATTGACAGTGGCAGAATTTCAGTCTTGGTATTATTGGATTTCAGTGCTGCTTTCGACTCGGTTGACCATAACATATTACTAGCCAGACTGGAAAACTGAGTGGGATTTTCTGGCACAGTACTAAACTGGTTTGAATCTTACTTAAAGGACAGGGACTACCTTGTATGTAATTACACATCTGAGCTAACAAAATGACCTGTGGAGTTCCCCAAGGCTCCATTCTGGGGCCTCTTCTGTTTAACATCTACATGCTTCCACTGGCTCAGATTTTGATAAACAAAATAACCATTTCCCCAGGACACTATGATCCCATACAGGAGCTGAGTAACTGTATTAAACAAATCAACAATTGGATGTGCCAGAATGTTCATCAATTAAAAAGATAAAACCGAAGTCATTGTTTTTGGTGCCAAGGAAGATTGATTAAAGTCACCTCTCAGCTTTAATCACTAATGTTAAAAACCACAAACCAAGCCAGAAATCTTGAATTTTAGCAGCCATATTAAGACAATTACAGTCAGCCTACTATCAAGAATATATTAAGAATTAAAGGACTTATGTCTCTGCAGGACGTGGAAAAACTTGTTCATTCATTTATCTTCAGTTGACTCGACTTCTGTCTTTACAGGTCTCACTAAAAAATCGAACAGACGATGATTCAGAATGCTGCTGCTAGAGTCCTCACTAAGACAAAAAATTGCTGCTGTCCACCCTGCTGTCATTCTGTGGGAAACACAGAAAAATAGGATCACATCACTCCAGTTCTGAGGTCTTTACACTGACTTCCTGTCTGTCAGATAATTTATTTCAAAATCCTGCTGTTGGTTTATAAAGCACTAAATGGTTTAGGGCAGAAATATAGTGCTGATCTTCTGCAACATTATTAACCATCCAGACCTCTCAGGTCGCCTGGAACAGGTCTGCTCTTTGTCCCCAGACTGAAACAAACTTCCAGAAAACTGCAGGTTGGCTGTAATTATTTTAAATCAAGACTGAAGACTTTTCTTTTTATCACTGCCTTTAATTGTTGATGATTTGATGATGAGATTTTTGAGTTAAAAAAAATGCCATTCAATGATGTGTGCTTAATTTCCAGATAGTCCTTGTTTGTAACTCTTAGTAGATTGCACTGGACTATGAGGTTTAACAAAGATAAATTGCAAACAGCCACAGGGTAGCATCACTCCACAGACCCCTGTTTGAATTTCTGAAGTACATGCTGTAGGTGATAGCTATAGGGCTATGTACATAACAGATTACACATGTTTTACTAAAATAGTCAAACAATAACAAGGTACGACTCTTATCTATAGAAACGAGTTTTCATCTGTTCATTATTATTTTAGTGTTCACTTCCAGGGAAATCCCCTTTTCATGCAGTTCTTTATAATTCCTTGTTTCTGTAAAACTTGTTACTTTTGTTATTTTATCTTCCTGTATCACCAAATAGCATTGCTGTCATTTTATGTTGTTATTAACATTCACATTAAAGTAATGCATATACTTATCTACAGTGTATTACTTCATTAACATATTGTCTTTACACAGATGGCATCAGCTCTTCATTTCATTGCGGTCATCTGTTTGACCAGTGGGCTGTGTATTGGAGCCAATGTAAGTAATAAAATATAAATTTAATAATAAACATAAAACCGGTCTTGCAAGAGCTCTACAGTCCAACATTATGTTTTCAAGCGTCCTGTCACCTGTATTTTTTTATTCAAATCTAAAGTTGCAAGTAGAGACAAATCAGAATATTTCTGTATCTTCACAGGCATCAAGTGAAACAGAATCAGGTTAGTGTTTCTCAGAGTGGTGGAGGTGAAATGCTGTTTCAGCACTTGATCCTAAGATTTCTTCTTACTTACCTTTTTCTAATGTGTCCATAAATGTTGTGCTGAGGATCAATATTCTCAGACCTCCACTGGCTTTGGACCACCAGAGGCTTTTTGCATGATTGTCCTACTAATCATCTACAATTGTGTTATAGATCATTGCTATGAAACCTGCCCTGACGGTTGGACTGTGTTTGGCCAACAATGTTACATGTTCCACAACAGTGAACAGCAGTGGGCTGATGCAGAGGTACGTTTTCAGTTATAACTGCCACACTGTATTTGTGATCACTCAGTTAGCAGTAGAAGTTCCCATATGAAGGTTATTGAATTTACACAGGATCCATTGTTCTGTTGTCCACTCTGTTGGTACACACAGTTCAAGCATGTTCATGTAGTGTGATGTTAGTTGATGATGTTCTTTATCCATCTCTGTTAGTAGTTTTATTTCTCTTTCTGTCACTTTTGTTTCTCACTTTGTCTCTTTCTTCAGCGTTTGTGCACGTCTTTCGGTGGGAATCTGGCTTCCCTACAAACCGCAGACGAGTACAAGTTCATCAGAAAGATGATTCGTAAAGTGACTGGTGTAGATAAAGACGCTTGGGTTGGAGGCTACGATGCAGCAAAGGTGAGCATTTTAGCAAAAAACAGGATCTGATTTAGCTGTCCCCTCTGTGTGCCTGATATTGAGTATATACTGTTTGTAATCTACCTTTTTGTAATTTGACCAGTGTTATGTGGACTATTTTAACACGACATAACTGTAACCCTTCAAAAAAACGCCAGCTAAAACATGATTGAAAAAATCCAACCAAATGTATAAACTCTCTTAAAACCTTTTGTTTCAGGAGGGTGTGTGGCTGTGGAGTGATGGTTCCAAGTACGCCTTCAAAGGCTGGGCTGCAGGGGAACCCAACAACGCTGGTGGAAGAGAGAACTGTATGGAGATTAACTTTGCAGGTACAACTTAATTATCTGATAGAAACCTTATATTGTTGGCCTTTCCCTTTATTTTGGATGTTTACTTTCTTACTCTTTGTTTTTCAGTATGTGCTTTCATTTGCAAGTGTGAATCATGTTATAACGCAGGTTTTTGAGAGTGCTATATGAAGAGAGTCTTACTTAAAGTAAAATGTAAACAATATCATTGTGAGAACTTTTCATGTGAGGCCTCTAATGTGCAATTATTATTTCTTTAAAAAAATCTGTCTTCAGGAAAAGATTATGTCAACGATGCCAACTGTGATATCAACAAATCCATTGTTTGTGGCATGCGCCTGTGAAGATCTACGCCCTACGCCAGGTGCTGACACATCCCCAATGAAGATGTCAAAAAACCCCAGATGATGTCACAGTTCTGATATATTTTAGTTGAATCAATAAACAAATATATCATGTTCAGCTATCTGTCTCACCTCTTTATATTGGTCTTTCCCTCTCTCTACTCTTAAAATTTGATATCAAAATGATCCCCATATTTAGAGCACATACTAGTACTATTTCACCCAAATAGATACAGAGAACAGAGAAGCAAAACAAGACAATGACACTGTGACAGAACAACTTCAAAGTAAAATTGGGAGTCAATAAGTCAACTCATTTACGAAAAGTTTTAATTATTAATTAATACTTTGATTAAAAGATTCATCTTATAAATACTACAGCAGTAGAGAACAGATTTCAATAGTAAATTCTTTGGTTTACATACAAGAGCAAAGTATAATAATCATAGTAATCCTGTCAGTTTCTATTTGAGCATTTAAGGGGCTTTCAAACCTGAATGTCTGCACCAAGGTCCTATGGGATAAATATCCTGTCATGTTTCAAAACAAAAAAAAAGTTGAAACTAAGTGTTTGAAAATTCAAAATCTTACCAAATTCCCTTTCGCAGGGAACTCTACACTGCGTCGTTGAAAACGACTCTATGGGGTAGCTCCTCGAGCGCCTGCCTGTGAAGTACGAATGAAACTAATCCAATCCTAATTGGTGTTCTGCCGTGGTGTATCATGTTACAGCATACCCGGAAGCATAAAAGGACGCCGGCACACACACACAACAGCTTTCGCTCTTCTGCAAGCGCTCTCTGTGAAACTGTCCTCTTCTCTGCTGAGCTGTCGGTCGTGAGACTTATTGAATGGCGAGTGAGAAACAGCGGTACACTC